TAATTGAAATTATATATATATATATATATATATATATATATATATATTGTTCCTCACCAGTAGCACAATCATCAGGTACGGAGTGAAAACTGAACGCTGTAAAATTTAAATATTTATATTTATAAAATTCTATAATGATTCTGGGGCATCCCGTTTATATACGAAAAAATCTCTATACTCTTTCATACATCGAAATGCAAGCATATAAATTAAAAGAATACCATATAAACAATAAAACATACAATTTAAATAATACAAATTTGCATATTTAATATATATTTTCAAATACAATACTGTGTGGACACAAATGTCATTCATATATCCACACACACACACACACACACACACACACACACACACACACACACATATATATATATATATATATAAGTATATACATACACATTTGCATAGATGTTCAAAGATACATAAAAATAGTTTATTACAATTTCTATCTACATATTAAAATGTACACAACTATATTCATATAAAAAGTCAAATACACACAACCTTATAAACGTGCACCCATACACATCTATTCATAAAATATAAGTACAAATAAAATTATGTACATATATAAATATATGTATAAACAAATAAAAAATTGTATACGTGTGTGGTTGTGCACGCGCGTGTGTGTGTGCACACGCTTAGATATATGTGTGTGCATTTATATGCTAGGAGTACTAATGACATTCTAAATCAACCTTATGTTTGTGTGTGAAACAAGTCGTGTCGATAAATTTTCAACCCCCTCCCTTTGTCACACACATAACATATATATATATATATATATGTGTGATATATATGCATATTTATATGCTATATGATATATATAATGACATTATAAATCAACCTTATGTTTGCTCAGATCTTATTTTGAAACAAGTATTTCGTGTTCGATAAATTTTAACAACCCCTGAATGATCGAGAGAAATTTTTATAGAAAATATTCGTTCTTTCAGGATTCGAACCTCATCACCCGGAACCATATACACACACACACAAACACACATATATATATATATATATATATATCGTCATTCATAACTGCTCTGGCGCGTATCGAATATAAACATATATATATATATATATATATATGATATATATATATATATATATTTTATATATATATATCGGACATTCAGGCCGGTAAATGTTATAATACTGTTTATCATAAACAGAGCATTATATAAATACATATATAAATAACAACATATAAAAAATGTCTTTATAAATATATTGTATATGTCCATTTCTTAACATATATATATATATATATATATATATATATTATATATATTAGATATACGGTGTCACACAGAAGCTTACAAAAATTATAAAAATGTTTTTTTGGGGGTGGGTATTTTTAATACGGTTACATTAATTAAACTTTTACTGCTTTTAGAACATATATTTAGGTATTCAGTCAATCAGATTTAAAAAAAAAAAAAAAAACTTAAAAAAAACCCCAGAAAAACCGATATTTAGTAACTGAAATGTTTACAACAGTCTTTTTTTTTTTTAATTTTACTTTGAATGTTCCAAATTAGGATGGGGTTGTTTTTGTAGAACGTTCCAGATTAATTTTATGATTACTTTTAGGAATGATTAAAAGTATTGCATCATTCTTTTTCTGTCAACTTTCCTTTAAACATTGAAAAAATGGGGAAAATGCAAAATAACTGATCAAGACCTCCGTAAACGTATGGTTGACTTTCATACAAATGGACTTGGTTATAGGAAGATATCTAGTCAGTTAAATGTGACATTGGGTTTAGTTGGTACGATAGCTCGTCACTGGAAGACCTGTCATTCCATTCGTTCAAAAAAAAAAAAGGCTCTGGTCGTCCTAGAAAGGTAACGTAACATACGGCAAGATTATTGGCGAAAAAGTTGGCAACGATCCCAGAGTTACGCTTAAAGAACTTCAGGGAGGACTAGAAGTAAGTGGAGTAAAAGTGAGTACGGATACAATTAGTCGTTCACTTCGTTGATATGACATCTTTTCGAGGACTTCATGGAAAAAAAAAACAACTTCTTAAACGAAAATACGTTCTTGCTAGACTGGATTTTGCAAACGAGCATTATATCAAACCTGCAGCATTTTGAGAAAATATATTTTGCTCAGACGAAACGAAAATGAACATTTTAGCAGAAATGCTGTGACAAAGATTTTGAGAAAGAAGGATACTGAATATTCGCCGAAGAATATAATATGATCTAAACAGTAAAACTTTGAGGCGGATCAATCATCATCTGGTATTGTTTTAGTGCCCAAGGTGTAGGGAACATTGAAATAATAGAAAGGAGGATGAATGGAGCATATTATAGGGATAATTTGGAGAGAAATTTACGTCAGAGTGCACATTCGCTCCTCTTGAAACCAAGTTTTGTCTTTCAACAAGATAAACGATCCTAAACATACTGCAGACCTTGCAAAATCATAATTAAGTTCAAATAGAATAGACGTTCTAAAATGGCCAAGTCAATCTCCAGATCTCAATAAAATTGAAAATTTATGGAGAGAACTGAAACTGAGAATTCAAAGAAGGAACCTGCAAAGCCTTCATGAACTAAAGGAATTTTGTCGTGAAGAATGGAAAAATAATAGCCAAGAAATTCGTCCAAAACTCTATACGCCTACACGCTGTAATTAGCAATAACGATTACGCTACGAAATATTAATAGATGATTTAATAAATGTATTGTAAATTTTAGCGTTATTAAATATTGGTTTTTCTTCGTGGGATATTTTTATTGATATTTTTTAAAAATCTGATTATTTGACTAAACGCTTAAACATGCGTATTATTAGCTGTAAAAGTTTCATTAATCTGTGTCAGAAATACCTAAAGAAACATATTTTGTAATATGTTGTAAATTTTTGCGTGGCACTATATACCAGGTGTTCTCAACTTTTTTGAGTCGTAGAAAAACATTTCCACCTCCCACTTGTATAGTAAATATTCAAAAGCATAGAAAAATTGTTTGCTAAAAGTTTATTACTGGTTCATAAAGTGATTTTATGATGTAGTAAAAAAAAAAGAAAAGAAAATTACCAAAGGTTCAGGGGGGAACAAATAGCGCTGACATATGCGGTGGCTTCTGCTGCTACTACCGTATTAAATAACAAACAAAAACAAACATGGCCACTGAAGACCACACACACACACACACACACACACACACACACACACACACACACGCACACACAGAGACATACACGCACATACATATATATAATTGTGTTTTATAGTTTTATGGTTAGGTTTGGCGTTGCAAATGTTGACAAAAAGTAAACAGTTTTTGTTCATAATTATAAACTTAAAAAGAATACACACTACTAGCAATGGTTTCAGTGTTAATAGACCTTCTCAAAACCATAGAAAATACAAAAATATTCTTTGTTTGCGGGGCTATTTATGTCTTACATAGGAATGCGACCCACTTGTTCCAAATAGCCTTCTACTTTTTTTCTTTATACAGGTTCTTTGTATATCTTCTTTGCATATTTTTTCGGGTAGCATATTATATATAAGCACGCATATATACACGCATGCTGACAGAAACACACAAAAATGGAAACAGATCCATAAACACATAGGGGTCATTAAAACATTAAAAGATAAAATGCCGATAAGTAATTCATCATTTCGCGTGGACCAACCTTAATTGTTTTATGACCCTTCGCGCAGAACTCTTCATTGCCAATTCAAGAAAGAAATTTGGATTACCAACACACAAACAGAAAATGTCTCATATCGAGAATATTTAACATTGAAAAACAAAATAAAAAATTAATTATTTTTAATAATATGTGGAAATCTCCGCTTTTACCTGAAGACGGTCGCGAGATCAGAAACACATGTAGTAAAATTATGTAAAACAAAGCATAATATTTTTTTTCTAAATAAATCCACATTACAACCAAAGACGTTTGCGGCACCTCTCTTCTCTTCTTTTCAATATACATACTTTTCTCTCGTTGGAACCACTACAACCTCTTTTCTTTTTATATATATATATATATATATATATATATATATATATATATATATATATATATATATATATATAGAGAGAGAGAGAGAGAGAGAGAGAGAGAGAGTAGTTCCTTACGAATTTCTTGCGTTTCGTGGCTAATATTTTTCCATTCTTTACGACAAAATTCCTTTAACGTGTCCCTTCTTTGAATTCTCAGTGTCAACCCTCTCCATAAATTTTCAATCGGATTGAGATTTGGAGACTATTTTTGCTAATAATACATATGTGTAAGCCTTTAGTCATACAATCCGATTTAAAACAATAATCAATAAAAATTACCCATAAAGAAAAAACAATATTTAATAAAGCAAAAGTTTACAATACATTTATTAAATCATCTATTAATACTTCGTAGCGTAATTATTATTGCTATTTACAGCATTCAGATGTTTTATAGTAGCCCCCTCCGAATTTCTTGCATGTTTCTTGGCTAATATTTTTCCATTCTTCACGACAAAATTCCTTTAATTCATGAAAATTTTGTGGGTTCCTTCTTTGAATTCTCAGTTTCAGCCCTCTCTATAAGTTTTCAATTGAACTGAAATCTGAGATTGCCTTACCAAAATGTAAAATATATTATATGCATTAATGAATATATATATATATATATATATATATATATATATATATATATATATATATATATATAATATATTTTGCATTATTCTATTAAGTACACTAAGTGGTTGATTGAATTTTTACTGTTTACTAACATTGCAGCCTATTTAAAATCCAGAAAATATTAATAGATTGTAGGAATTTTTTTTAAAGATGATAAGGATTTACTTATACAAGTCCTACTAATTAACTCATGTCTGGGAGAACTGTTTGATTAATATGTTTCCCAAGGTATCTGCGTGTAAGTGAACATATCGAACCTGACTGGAATTGGAACACGATTCTCTGATCTCCAATTGCGATTCCTTATTCATCAAACACCTCGCACATCCAAACTTGCAGCATTTGGTATTCCCAAGTGGTCACCACTCTAGGTACTAACCGGGATCGACGTTGCTTCACTGAGGTGATCGTATGAGAACCGGTGTTTCATCGTGATATAGCCGTAAGCCTACTAAGTGTATATTTTTTGCTTTTTGCTACTATTAAATTTATCAATATTTGAAAAAAATCGAGATATATATATAGTTATGGGATCTTACCCATAATAACATAATGGACTATTCCATACGTAATAAATACTACGCCTCAAGAGGAAGCAGAGAGTTCAGTCCGAAGTCGGGCGACCGGTAGACCGGCTGATCGGTTGAACTCTCTGCCTTCGGGCGGAGAGGAACCCGAACGAGGCTACGCCGAAGAGCGTAGTCTCTTTCGGGGAGGTAAACCGACCCTGAACCCGTTTATACGGGTTCAAAAGGCATATTTTTGTCAGAGCCCACGGTCTCGGAGATCCCACGTTAAACCGGCCTTGTGCCACATGATACTCTCGTGGGGGGGGGACTAAATACTGTTCAGTCCGAAGTTGGGCGACCGGCTGATCGGCTGATCGGCTGATCGGTTGAACTCTCTGCATTCGGGCGGGGAGGAACCCGAACGAGGCTACGCCGAAGGGCGGATTCTCTTTCGGGGAGGCAAACCGACCCTGAACCCGTTTATACGGGTTCAAAGGGCATATTTTTGGCCGAGCCCACGGGCTCGAGATCCCGGAGATCCCACGGGCTCGGAGATCCCACGGGCTCGGAGATCCCACGTTAAACCGACCTTGTGCCACATGATGCCCTCGTGGGTGGGTGGTGACTAAATACTGTTCAGTCTGAAGTCTGGAGTGAAGTCCGTCAGGAGTCTGTCAGTCAGTCAGAGCGAGCGAGTCAGTCTGTCGAGTCAGAGGCAGTCAGAGGCAGTCCGAAACAGTTTGTTCGTACTAACACTTTCTTCTCTGTATATATTCCTGTTTGTAATATATCTGTGTTATTCCATATCCGCCTTCGAGTTCTTCTTTATTGGTTCTACCTTGGACTATCACCGTGGTACAAGGAACCGGACCATAACATATATTAATTTATTTAAATTTCCATGTTTGGAAGCCTTGTCATAAAAACGGCTTAATGAAGTAGTTTTTGAGGACATCGTCGGCTTTATCTCGTATCCAATAATTTAATTTTTTCTTTGCTGATCACTTCCTTTATTATGGCGTTGATGACTAAGTAAACTAATTCTTGTATGGAAGAGCCGATGGTACTGAATGCATGGTAGTGTTGGTGAAGGACGTGGTTGATTTAGTTGAGCCTTTCTCTCTTGGCGTTTGGCTTTTTCCGTTTCGCTTCTGGTAACTTCAAAGTTTTGGTTTCCATGGTGACGGAACACTGCCAGTTGGTTCGGTCTCAGAGTTGCGTTTCAAATGATGTAGGCTCAAGTCCATTGGCTTTCTGTATTGTTTTGAGTTGGTCCATGTATCTTCGAAGTGGGCAACCCCTGTAGTCTTTTCCCTGAAGTGAAGCCACTGAACAAGACTTGACGTGAAAACCTTGACTCTTCCATTCTTGCTATATGACGTGACCATCGAGGACCGTGTTTAATTATCAGTGATTCGATGCTTTGACGTTTGGCAGTTTCAAGATCTTTTGTGTTGGTCACACAGTATTTTTATTTGAAGTTCACGATTGAACGAAGATTTGCAGGTGAAAGCCTTCAAATTTTTAGTTGTCGCGACGATATAGAGGTCACATTTCGCAGCCATAAAGTTTAAATAACAACAGCATTATTGTTGTGGAGTGGTTTCACAGTGGAGGCTTGTATTTGTACTAAGTCGGTCCTAAAATAGGTTCGACGTAAAAAAAGTTAGGAACTTGTTATAATAGGTATAACGCAGAGTAATCTAGTTGTTGTCGCTGATACTTTAGTATTCGACTAGCTTTCGTCCGACATCGACTGACTGACCGACTCACTCACTCCTCGTTACTATTACTACTTCTACTTATTATAGGTGGGAGAGTCTATTAACTATAGAATAGGTGTGTTTCACTATAACAATTATAGACTATAATTAAGTTTAACTAACGGTGGAGTAATGGATACCGGCTCGGATTCCATTCGAATCCATTACATTCACTTCCGTGCTAATACCCTTGGGAAAGGTATGAATCCTATTTTTTCTTCCCCAGATATGGGTAAATAACAGGACAGACCGGGTTCTATAGCCTTGGATGGCAACTGGTCTACCGCAGAAAGAAATGGCAACCAACTGCGGGAAAAAAACTGCTTCTTCAGCCATGTATCGAAAGATACATGATCGCCTAAGCGTGTATCACGCACGGCACATAACTGAATTGGATATGTATATAACAAATACGTTTCTTTTTTTTAAAGAAATAAATGTGCTGAAATTTAATAATAAACTTATTGATTTTATTGAATTAAAATATTTCTTTACGACAAAAAATTTTAGACGAAATGTTCACTTCCAATTTTCGATTTACGTGATCAGTGAAAGGCGTTGCGATTAAGTGCTATAACAAAATGGAAGGTTAAGATGGAAATAAAGTCGATATTTATTAAGCAAAATTTGTCATCTGCGTCACATTTTTTCCCCCGAGAGTGTTGCCATCTTTGCAATGACAACGCCAGGTGAGAGTGCCTTTTGATGACAATGTTTAAGAAGACGGATAGTGAAGAGGTCAATGGGTCTCCACAATTTTTTATCCTTTGTCGCTAATATTAATGCTTATCTTGTTACCATCACTACCCCCCCGCCGTTCCGCTATCCATTCACACAAGCTCGACAAGTTGGTGCTACATTCGTTTTCAAGGATATCACAAATAAACAAAATGATATGAACATAAGGCACATTTTAGTAGATAATACCAAAATATTATAAGACACAACGCGAAGAAAGACTCAAAATTCTAGAGGTTATTGTAATACAAAAGAAGCAGCCAGTATTAAATAAGGTATCTTTCTCCATAGTGCATAGTACAGTGTAACCCGGATATAAGAGAGTTGTCGGGACCGGAGAAGAAGTCTCTTATATCCGGGTTTCTCTTATATCCGGGTTTGGTCTAATTTATATACATTAACAGAGGCTCTAATTTGGGACCAGAGAAAATCTCTCTTATATCCGGGTTTCTCTTATATCCGGGTTTGGTCTATTTTATATACATTAACACAGGCTCTAATTTGGGACCAGAGAAAATCTCTCTTATATCCGAGTTTCTTTTATCCGGGTTACACTGTATATTAAAGTGTGTATATAAAAAAATAATTAAGATACAAATAAAAATTCAGTTTGACAGTTTAAATGACGTCACCTTGAGAGATTTGAAATTGGTTTCAACACACGTAGGAACGCTGGAATTAACCTAAAATCAGTTACATAAACATACAAAAAATATAATTCTTAAAAATGGATGTAGCAACATTCGAAAGTACTCAAGAAAAAAAAAACTAAATTTATCGATCACATAAAACAACTAATGCGTAAATTTGAAAAAAACTTAAAACATTGTAGACAAAATATATCGATATTATTCTACCAAACGGAGATCTCACAATCCTGAGGCGATTCAAAAGACAAGGTACTCAATTCTATATTTATATTTAGAACTATGTTCTATTTTGAAACTTTATGCTATGGGAAAGCAGCAATATTTAAGTAATGTTATTTTTATATGTCTTTTATATTAATTCTGTATATATTTTTACATTTTACGTCGAGCACTGTTCATACAACGTCCTTATTTGTTATATATATATATATATATATATATATATATATATATATAATATCTCTCTCCCCATTCTCGTCTTTCCCTCCCTCTTACTTTAGATTGTCTATGGTGTGTGTATGTCACCACGACATGTATCTTTATGCATTAGACATCCAACAATCATTTTTCTCTTACTTAAACCCCTTCAACTCACCTCTCCTAATATTCTCTCTATTAAGGTTTAATCTCCCTCCCCCTCATACTTACACTCTCTCTAAATTCCGTTTTTATTTCGGAGTTGTTTTTTCTGTTTTCTTTTTGAATTTGTAGGTCTGATGAATTGGATCGTATTTACGATTCCAATGGAATAAATTATGACCATGGAATATTAGTGTTTAAGCCTTTTTTTATTATATATATATATATATATATATATATATATATATATATATATATAATTTTATTTTAGCTATTAAAACAAAAAGCATGTTGAAAGCGCTACACAATACCTTTCGTGTTTCGGTTCTACGCTGTACTTCTTTACTTCATCTGTTCTTTTCTCATTTGTATATATATATATATATATATATATATATATATGATATATATATATAATATATGAGTCTATGTGTGATTCATTTAGTTTATAAAATAGAGCGGATAAGTTGGTCAATAAATCAAACTCAAACGAAAGTGTACCGATGTAATCCGTACGAAAAACATTTATTAATATAATATTAACCTGGTAACAAAAAATGAAGTTTCATTTTGTCACCTGGTTAATATTAATAAATGTTTTTCGTACTGATTACATCGGTAACCTTTCGTTTGACTTTGTTTTAGCGACCAACTTATCCGCTTTATATATATATATATATATATATATATATATATATATATATATATATATATATATATATATATATATAGTGTGTGTGTGTGTGTGTGTGTGTGTAAGTATCCATTTAGTTCCTGTTTTCTCAAAAAAACTTCACCGTTGTTCATTGATATTCGAAATTCTTTTTATCAGAAGCAGGCATTATTTTCTCTAACCTACCGCCATATTTCATATTCCCAAAAAATTAAAAAAAAAAAAAAAATAGGAAAGCCCCTCCCCAAAAACTGAAAAGAAGTGATGAATTAAATGATGATTTTTCTCTCTAAATTTGTTAAACCCTCTTCAATAAAAAAAATCAATAAATCTAAAATCAATTAATCATTATTTGTCTTCATGCGCGTCTAATGAAGTAAATTAGTGAAATCTGAACGGTATTACTCTAGAGTCAAAAGTCTCGACGTACATATTATAAAGAATAAAGTGAACGGCGTGTTCAACCCGACACAAATGTTTCGTGATCCATGCCATTTCGTTGCAACCAGTTCTATTCACGATTCACTTTTTTCA